TGCAAAGCACCATTGTCTTTTATACATAAATCTCCAGATGGCAGGAAGGAGGCATCCTGTTTCATTTACTAAGAGCAGCAGATTTTTCTTTTAAGAGTTAATAAATATGTGAAAATGACTCCTACCAGGGATAAAACAAACTTTTTAGCAAATGCAACAACTTAGACGAGAGGGGTAATTTACATCCCAAGTACAACTATGCATTGCATTTTGCATGAAAACTGTGGATTTCTATCTTAACAATCATTAATCTATTAAAGTTAACCAAGGTAAACAACCTTCAATAGATTGGTAGAGCTGATGTGAGGCAATATACTTTAAAAAAAAAAAAAGAAACTTTGCTCAGAAGCAAACCTGAAAAACCTGCTTGGATAGGAATCTTTTCGAGGTCAGGTGTTTCCTATCCTTTCAATGCTCACGTTGGTTGTAATGCACAGGGGTCAAAATTGTGGGAAATTACTGCAGAGTGTTTTATAATAAGGCTGTCATCTCATCCCAGAGAGAAACAGAAAGCAGAAGAAAGTAAATGGCTCTTATTGTCACATGTAATATTTCACAGCTTTCACGATCATATATCTTCCAGTATGTCTCCTCCTAACTCTAGTCTTCATATTTTATCTCCTTTTTCATTCTTCTATTCATCTGTTTTCTTTTACCATTTTCTCCCATTTGAATTAAGCTTCATGTTACTCATTCATGTAAAATAGGCATTATTGTAAAATTATAAGTTCAAATGTGCAGCATTCAAATACTATTGAGTCCCTCTTTCCCATCTTTTAAAGGTCAGAAAGGCATTTCTGAAGGAGTTCCTGTCCTCTCTTTGCAAATATTAAATGAGCTGGTTCACACACCCAAGCAACTATGATTTATACCACCAGTGCTAACTCACAAATCATCCTCTCTGCAATGTAAAAATTGAGAGATTGTGGAAGGGTGCCATATAGGAAGAGAAACACCCTAAGTGCTTCCTTTTTTAGACTTAAGTTACATACTCAAGTAAGAGTTGGCTCTGGGTTTTAGACCCCTGCAATGAGAGCTATATTATGTAATTCTTACTGTAACTTGTGGATTAAACATTTTTTTTGTTTTTCTGTGAATAACATTTGGTTTTGACTTAATAGTGGCACAAGATTAAAAGTTATGGACTTGTTTTCAAAATTCATATTTTGGAAACCATGAAAAATGGCTCCAAAATCTTAACCTTTAAATATTGGCTACCCATCCAATATTTACTCAGAAACACCTGGAAAACAGAGTGACCATTTAACCATACAATATAAGAGCAGATTAAACTGGCAAAAATTGCTGACCGCTTGACTTAATACCCCTCGCCAAGTGCCATCATATAGCCAGTGGCCTATTGCTTCAGTTGGTCTTTACAAAACTTTTACTTTGATCTTTACAAAGCTTGGTCCTAATTGTCTATATGGAATGGATGAATTACTGACTTTACTGACTATTGTTTTTCCAATAAATGGTTCCTGTGCAATTTTGTCTGTCTGTGTGACTGCCTGTGAATTGTCTATGTTTAACTAAATACCAAGAATTGTTTTGGTGGTTTTATTTTTTTAGTTTATTTGATTTGTTTTGTTTTGTTTTTGTTTTCTATATAACTATTGATTATAGGAAACTGAGCTCCATACCACTAATATCATAAAGATTGTGGTCCTCCATTCAAAAGTTTATATATGTGGCTAAGGTTTTACATACATACACACTGTAAATGCATGTTGTTAGAGTTTTGGGATCTGAATTTAGCCAGTCATATCAGCTGTAACAGGAATAGCAGAGACCAGAAGTCTTCCTGCAAGTGCACATAAATCACACAAAAAGTATCACATTAAAATCAATCTGCCTTTAGGCTGGTCTAGCTAAATGTGTTCCAGTGGACCTTGTTTTTGTGATGCTAGGTTGTAAACGTTTTGTTTGTCATTCTCAATAAAATGAAAAAGCTGTTTATTGAAATTAAACTGACATTGCAAGGCTGACAACTAAAAACAAAAGTAAAATGTTTAAGAATAGGTGAAGAAAACAGCTTGTATAATAATAATAATAACGAGAAGAAGAAGAAGAATTTATTTGTATAGCACTTTTCAAAACAGAGATATATATGTACAGGAGATAAGTGTACATGTTTGAACATACAGACACAAAAACAGACATGCTCTTTTGTTCCATCATACACACATACATGCATGCATGGTTGCAAACTATGGCCAAAAAATGAAGGTGAAAAGATTAAGGAAACACTAACCTATAAAAAATGAGTTTTCAGCAGTTGTTTTAAAACAAATAACAGAATCTGCTGTTTTAATAGTCTGAGGAAGGCTGTTCCACAGTTTGGGTACAACAATGTCAAGAGGCTGTCAAGGTTTTGGGCTTGACAGAAAAGTGTCACTGGGTGTCATCTGCACGGCAGTGGTAGAAGATTCCATTAAAGCCATTCAGTCCATTGAAATCATTCACTAGATGGCCGAGGGGTAACATTTCTCAAAGTGCAAATTCACCTTCAGTCTGAATTCACATTGCATGCTTGGAGCTGACACTTCTATCCAAAGAAACATGCAAGTTTCCAAGATAGGTCAAGGAGGACATGGGACGTTTGCTCATGGGTTTTCTAATAGATGGGAACAAGCAGCAAGACTCTTGATCAGGTCCAGAACCTTAAAGTATATATACAGTAAAAATAAATACAGAAAGTTAAAAAAAAAGAAAAGAAAAGAAAACTGCAAATGTCAGGCAGACAAAGATTTAGCTATTGATAAGGACATTTCAAATGCCCAGTGTTTGCTTAAAGCCTGATTGGCGACTAACAAGAAGAGGAACATCCTAAAACCTGGCAAAAGGAGTATTTCGGCATTGCTGTGCATTAGTGTCAACGCAAAATAAATTACATTGAGGTACATGCCAATGGAAATCTATTAGAGTGGATTAAACAGGTGAACTATATGCTGAAAGGCTACTCCAGAGATCCAGGTTTGATTCTGCTTCTGGACATGTTATTCCATGTTATTGCGCTCTGTCCCTCCTTTCTTGGATACTCTGCTGTCCAGGGTAAAAGTCAGTCTTTAAAAAGAAATCTGTTAAAGTGGACACAATACCATACTGAAGGTAAATATGGACGTGCTGTTTTGTAGCTGATAGCTGGTCCCTAGTCCCATTCTAAGGCTTACATAAGTAGTTCTCCTATATTCTCTTTACCGCTGTGATAAGCTGAAATGGACCCCCTACTCTAAGCTGTGCTCACTTCAGTCGCTCTATTAGAAAAGTTTAACTGTCATTGGTATAAATCACTATACATCACTGACATTTCATCATAGTCTCTGCTGCCAGTCATTCCTTCATATGCCCCTTAAAGGAACATAGTTCTCTTCTTCTTGTTTCTGCAGTCGCTTTTCATCATCCACTGTTTAAATTGTGGTGACCTCTTATATTTGTACGATGGGTGTATAACCCATTCCATAGACATCTGACTAGCAGTAACTGGACTGAGCCCAGAAGCAAACTTGGTTTTGTAGATGAACCACATTTGTTGGCAGCTGTTTTTGTTAAACAGAAAAGACTTTCTGGATAATAGACTTGATTTTGAATTGGCTATTAATGACCACTTTATTCCATTCAATCAAGTTAAGTTTTATGTATTGCACAAACAATAACGTACCATTGGCAAAATTTTGAAATGTCATTTGCATTTAGTACGACCAAATAATTTTTAGAATACTTTTAATAATGTTTTTAATAAGAAATATATATTTTACCTGCACCATGTATAGAGTATGAGACGTATGTGTATCATCCCAGCAATGAAAAACAAGCAGTGAGTGATAATTATTCTAATGCTGAAAGAAATGTGACTTATTTATTACTTATTAATGTGTAACTTATTTAAAGTAATACATAAGATTTTTTAAGTAAACTGTTTCACGTGGGTAGTGTTTTTTCTGAAGCGTCCTCTATGAGCTCTCTCTTTACCTACAATATGACTGATATTCCTTACCCCTCATAACTCTTTTCCTACCTTGCTTCCCCTTCCCCTCACAGTCTGCTAATTGCTTGTAAAATCTCTTTATAGAAAAGTAACAAGGTTTTAAATCTCCACTGTGTCTTTACTGGCCAGGGGGATATTTTACAGACTACATTATGCAGTTCTACTCAGATGAACTGTTTAGTTTACCACTCACTGAAGGGCAGACAGAGCAAATGAACTTTTGTATACATCCGTGTGCTTTTAAAAAGGAGCATATGAACATTTTGATGGTTTTAAAGTATACTACGTTAACATGAGTTAGGATAAGTGCATTTTCCAGGAAGTGCTGACCAGTGAAAAAAGGGGTTGTGGACAGTGACTGTACATTATAACATATTATCCATCCAGCCATACATTTTCTGCCTATCGAATTCAGGGTAGTGGGAGGGGCTTTGTCTGGATTGGCTAAAATAAAATTAGCGTAGAAATCAACGTGTACAAGTTGTCTAAAATTATGATTGAATGGTTTAGTTCTAGATGGTCTTCCCCTGCAAACTTAGACATATAACATTGGTAATTCCATAAAAACAGTGGAAAGCATTTCTTAACCTTTGATTTTGAATTTAAAAGATTAAAATGATACACTCAAACTTAAATGTTTCTACATTTACATCCATCCACCACCCTAACAGGTTTGAGTCATGAATAAAAACGTTTTCCTGGGTTCACCATGTTATGTGAACATCTAAAACACACATCATTTGACAGAATGCAGCGAATTTGTGCGGTCATGCCATTTGTTCCATGTTTTATTTCTCCATATTTTCTGTCTTGCTCCAATATTAAAATTAGAAAATGTAAAAAAGGGAAATATAGAAGTAAAATTCTAAAAACATTAAAGTGACAAATTGTTATTATTAAAAAAACATATTGTATTGACTGTGCTTTACTGTTGTGTTGCTTGGACTAGTCATATGTGGTTTTAAGCTTGAAGTCTGATCTACATCTGACATGATTGTCTTCTGTGTTCCAGGTCTGTATCTGGTGTGGATGTGGATCCTGATCTGGTGCACATGGAGATGCAAGATACAAGTGGAGGTGCAGTGATCTTCCACTAGCCCACTCATCTTGTTATAATGTTAGCACTTGGTCAGAGAAGATCAAAGTTTATTAGAATTTCTATAAGTTGATATAAATCTAGAGGTAAAATAAAGCACAAGGTTTAGCTTTGGTCCAATTTTATACTACTAATAGCAAACAGCTAATCAGCAAAGAGACTTGAAATTTGAAATGCTACCAGGTGTATTCTTTCTTGGGTTTAAAAGCATGTTATTAAAATACATTAACTGGCACTATCACAAGCTGATGGGTAGAGGACCAAAATACAGGATTTTAAACAAAAAGGTGAACCTTTATTAGGTTGAATGCAATGCCTACAGCCAAATCCGAATACAAGCAGAACTTTAAGGTCTTTGCAGGGAAACAGGCAAAACTAAGAGCAAACAGAGGAAGATAAAGACTACAGACAAGTCTAAGGAGAAGCACAGGACTATATATACACTTTAACTAGAAACAGGAGGGTAATGAGACATAGGTGACAGTAATCAAGACAATCACAGGGGATGAAGTCAAGCTTAAAGGAAGTAAATCCGGTAAAGTAAATCCGTTGGGCATCTTTCTTTGCCTTTAGACAACAATTCTGATGGCAAAAGAGCCAAACGGGACAGGCAAAAAAAAAAAAAAAAAAAGCTTAAAGGAAGACACAAGAGACAACTAATTTTAAACTGTTAAAATAACAAAGAACCCAACTAAAGGCACAAGAGAACTCACTCTGAATTCAGGGAAGGACAGAATTAATAATAGCCTTAAGGCAAAACCAAAAGGAAATAATTAGTGCTGTGAAAATTAACATGTTAATGCAAATTCATCTGCCATCACGGTCAATGTGATACTTTTTTTTTTAGCGCAATTAATGCATCTGGAGTGCAGAATGACTCAAAATCCCTAAAATGTTTCTGTCAATGCATTTCGGGTAGTTTGTCCAAATAGAGTTACCTTTGCACATGCGCAAATGGGCAGCTGATCTGGTAGTGATGGGCAGCTGAACCAATCAACTCAATATGGAAGATGATAAACGCACATTGGCCCTCTCAATGGAAATTTGAGTATTAAAGAAATAACAAGACGGAACAGTCAACCGACATAAAGTATTATGCAAATTATGCAAGAAGGAATTTTCTTTTTACCGAAGCACTTCCAGCTTAAAATATCACACTGACGTGAAGCATACGTTAGCCGGGGATGCTGCTAGGACTTTGGCTAACGCGTCACCAAGCTTGCGACAAACCACTCACGGAGAATCGGGGACTCAGTAAGTCTACCTCAGACCAGTGTTGCCAACTTAGCGACTTTGTCGCTATATTTGGCGGGTTTTCAGACCCCCTTAGCGACTTTTTTTCTAAAAAGCTTCTAGCGACAAATCTGGCGACTTTTTCTGGTGTTATTGGAGACTTACTTATGACGACTTTTTAATGTGAAAGGGCGTATTGCTCTTACTCTCAACAAGCAGCAGTGCTGCCGTGGGCACCTCACCCGTGCTAAAGCGCTCACGGGCGGAGGATAGTCCTCCCCCAGCTGCAGGAGATGTTCACACCTATGCGTCCAAACTGCAAATGAACCGCGCATGAGCGAAGCCGCTGCTCCCGCACTGACTGTAATGCAGTCAGTTCTTCTTTTACTCTTATGCTGTTTTGTGGATCACAAGGTTTAAAACTACTTATAAACACACACACACATAAAGTAACTCCACCAGAGTGCCTATTTCGGGTCACTTTTGCCAGTCGAAGCCCGGATAAAGGAGCAGGGTTGGAATTGTGACATTAAAAAACAATAATTGTTAAACGAAATTTAATTTGTAGTTCTAAATAAATTCTAAATGCATTTAGGACGTTTTTTGCTCACTTTATGTTTCTTCCACGATGTTATTTCTCTCTCCAACAGCGTAGGTTACAATTATATTAGCATGACCAATTATGCAAATTAGGTTATGATGTCATTTAGCGACTTTTAGGACAACCAATAGCGATTTTCCTTACTGAGGAGTTGGCAACACTGCCTCAGACATGTTGACTGACACAATTGCCAAGTGGATTGCAACATGAAAGTGCGTACATTCTCCCTTTTTTCTTGAGTCTGTTTGCTCATGCAAAATGAAATGCGATTAATATAGAATAAAAATGAATGATATTTAATTGTGATTAATCAAAATTAATCCACTGTAACCCTGTGATGAATCTGATTAAACATTTTAATTGTTTGACAGCACTAATATATATTATATATTGGTGTATACTTACCTATTAGTATATAGGTTTTTAAAAAAGTTTCACAGAAAATAACCTGTGTTAAAAGATGCAAGAAAACTATTTAAATTCTCTTTGAATTTAAGCATACATTCTTTGTGGTTATTCTGCATTTACTTCATTATATTGCATAAATGTCAGTTACAAGCGTAAATATTAAGTTGAAAAAAAAAAAGTAATTGAAACCAGGCTATTGATCAAGTAATTGCTATTAATTGTGATTAATTACAGAAAATTGTGAGATTAATTAGTTAAATATTTTTAATCTATTGACAGCACTAGAAATAATATTAGAAAATTGAAAAGCTTTATGAGAGTAATAAAACCCAGGCAGAGATCCTAAAAAAAAACCCCTCAAAAATCTAAACCTCAAAAAATAAGAATTAAAACTTCATGCAATAGAGTACAGAAATACCTAAACAGAAACTCAACCTCAGATATGTTAACTAAGGATTCAAAGTCAAAGACGTAACCAATCTTAGGTCACATGACAATCAAAGCAAAACCGTCACTGTGCCTTTTTAGTAAATCTGTAAGGAGTGATTTGGATTTGCACAGGCCAATATGGCCCTATGCCGGATTGATGGTAATGAATTTTGTTTCTTGAAATATCCTTGCCAGATATGACTGATGCCTCATTCAGTTCAACTATGACATGAGGATCAACTTCTCTTTAAGAATTCTTGAGGTAGAGGATAATGTGTTTTACCTATCCAGGCAGCGCTAGCACTACAATGTAAAAGCAAGTAAAAGAAGAGATTACCGAATGACCTTGGTGTGGGAGTGTTGGTAGTGTTTATGTGTGAGGGGTCAGTGGGGAATTAATGGATAAGCTAAATACTCACACCAGTGAATTTGGATTATCATATCTCCTGAGTGACAGACGAACACCTCCACACAGAGGGCCAAGAGGGTAATAGAAATGTGTATTTGAGATTGTGCATTTGTCAATGAAGGTGGCAAATGTTCAGACTCTTTATTCACATCTTGACTTCATCTTCTCTCAGTCTCCCAAACTATAATCCTAAATTCTAAACTATAACCTCTAAATAAACCTGAGCAGGCAAAGTCAGATAGGAGTGGCAGACTCTGAAGGGCACAATGAAGGATGTGTTTATTATATTTGCTGTTCCATTCTCAATAAACCTCCCTATTATAAATGGCCATTAAAATCTGAACCTCTTGAGGAGGAGACGAGCAATCTTTTAACCCACACACAGAAAGATGCTGCCTGCATTGTGAAATCTGTCGGGCTGAACAAAGCTCCCTGTGTTTGTGGATAGTGAAGATGAGAGGCTGTCTGTCTGGGCTGACTGCCCAGTTAGGGGAGCTCTTCCTGGGGCACATGGCCTCATCTTTCTCATTCTCCTCCCTCTTCCTCTCCTTGCTTCTGTGCCCAGATAGATAGTTGAGGAAGGCGGGAGCGACCAGGCATGCTAAACCAATCTGTTCACCCTGTTCCCCCAAATCCTCTGCTCCAACCCTGTCATGCGTAGCATGGCCAAGGTTAAATATGGCATGCTACCAAAAAGGACACAGGAGAGATGAGGAACTGTGGCCCTGCCCTCAGCTCCCAGGACTGCTGTCTGATGTTTGAGAAGGGCTGGAGGGGTGGGAGGAAAGTCTCCTAGGAGATGGGGTGGTCGATTGATGGATGAGCCATGTGTGCACAGAGATGCTAGCTGGTAGTGTGTCTTTGTATATTAGTTTGTCATTAGGGAGATTGAAGGGCAAGAAAGCATGAGAGTATCTTGTTCATGCACATATTGACGCTGTAATGTTAGGAGTACTGTAAATGTGTACATGTCTCTACAAGTATTACATGTATTGCTTTCTGTATTTTTTAAATAGTCACAGTCTCAATAATATCCCTTTAGCTATGCCCTGTTTCCCTGTTGCTGTTTTCCTCGTCATACCACCCAATTTCACCATGTGAGTGTGGTTGCAGGTATGTGAGGACAGCAAGTGGCATGAAGAAATGAGTGTGCCACAAGCTGGAATTGAACACTTAGTCCAATCTAATAGTTTTTTAATGAGTTCTCCACCGTATGCTGCTTTGATTAAATGTCTGGGCTTTTCAATAAATTAGCCACTCCACACACCTCCTGAACAAAGACAAAGCAGAGGAGGAAAAGTACAGTGCTGATGAAAAGAATTGACTCAGTCATGCGATATGAAGTTGCGTCATCCTGAGGCTGAACCGATTTGAATTTTCTTTTATGTAGTTGTATGTTGATTTTATTCTACTAAGATAATACTTTAGAAAAAAAGTAGTAAAAGACATCAATATAAAGAAGATAGGATGTACCACATGTGAATGAAGGTGACTTGATATGGTGCATTATAACACAGACATCTGTAAAACTGTCTTTTATGAATTTTTAAACCAGGTAGATTAATATCCATTCTGTTTAGCAAAGGACATGGAGAAAGAGTCATCCTCTCTGTCATATATATATATATATACAGAGACCATGGTCATTCTCAGGGCATATCTCATTTTGACTTTGTGTGTGTATGTGTATGTATATATATATACAGTATATATAATATGTATATATATATATACGTATATATGTATATATATACATACATATATATATATATATATATATATATGTATATATATATATATATGTATATATATGTATATATATATATATATATATATGTATATATATATATATGTATATATATATATATATATATACACACACACATACACACACACACACACAAAGTCAAAATGAGATATGCCCTGAGAATGACCATGGTAATATTCTGTGGAACTTCCACATACAGACAGACAAACGGGTGATGGGCAACCAACCAAGAAATAGTAGTGGTGGACAAGCAGAGGAAGACAGTCGTAGTGTTCGATGTAGCGATACCAAGTGATAGCAACATCAGGAACAAGAAACACAAGAAGAATGAAAAACAATGCAAATACCAGGGCTGAGAGACAATTTGGAAAGTTTAGGCAACAGTGGTCCACATAGTAACTGGAACACTTGGAGCAGTGACCCAGCAGATCAGCAGATTCCAGGAATGACATCTGAGATATCTGTGCAGAACCGCACAGTCTTGGGAAATGGAAAGATACTGTGCAAGACCTTCAGGCTCCCAGGCCTCTCGCAGAAACGAGGGAGTGATTCTTCTTGAGCTTTGGTGGAGGTTGGTGGATGAATTGAAACAGAAGGCACTGATGCAGGGCAGAAGCAGCACTGATATATGTGACACACAGTTTAAGTTGCCCTCCGTGACGTAGCTTGAAGCCCTTTGTTTCATTATCTAGTCGTAGTAATTGTTAGTACTTCCAAAGTTATGTGTGAAATTCTTTGAGTCTATTTTCTATCATCTATTTTTTTATGTTAAACATGTGTGAGAAGTAAGCATAGATTCTGTTTGCCATATGGTGATTTGAAGTTTCAGTGAGTCCTGTAAGAACCTGTATTTTTGAAAGATCAAGGTCAGTTTGATGAATGTCTAATTCACTTCAGATGCTGTTAAGCTCTAAGTTATATCTGAGCTGATACTTTTAACTTATTTCCGAGTGTCTGATGTAATCAATTGAAGGTCAAACCATAAATGTGGATTCAGCCAGTGCATCTGAACTGCTAACCTCGCACATGTGTGGATGCAGGCTTGAGAGTGTGAAGTTGTGTGTGTGTGTGTGAGTATTTTCTCTATTGCCAGCTTGTCACCTTTGGGGGGAACATAGCGGCTGCATTTCAGGAGTCGATGCTGCTGATGCAGCTGCTGGTTGAAATTCAATAGTGGTTGAGCTTTGCACCATGCGCTAGCCTCTCTGTGTGCCTGTGTGAGGGTAATCCCTCCTGGCCATTTGGATCCTAGAACGACTGTATGTCTATGGGGAAGCTGTCATATCTTATAGAGTCTGGAAAATGATGTCTCCATTTTTCTTTTCGCCTAGTTTTTCCTCTCATACATTTTCTTCCACTCCCTCTAACAGCCAGCCACAGAAAAGCAGAAGCTGCAGTCTTCAGCTTATGCTTATTTCTATTGTATTCTATCCTATTTTTTCCCCATTCTTGAGCCTTTTCTCTTTTACTTTCTCTACTTAACATAGATTACACAGTTTTTATTATGTCAGCTAAAAGCTATAGTTGTATTTAGCTTCCATGTACAGTATAAGTACCATTACTGTGAATGCTGTTTGAATAATCATAAATCTCTGTGAATATTCAACCTACTCAAGTTAAGTTACTTTATTTTTACAACACATTTAAACACATCAGATATTAAGTAGCTGAGACATAATAAAAAATATATTTTACACTATATTTTATTCAGTTTTATAATGTGTTTTCAAAATAGTCCAGTTGAGGGACTTTATGGGCCAACAAAAGTGAAAACCAACCATCTGGTAAGCAAGCCCTTGGTGACAGTGGGAAGGAAGAACTTTTAACAGGAAGAGACGTCAGGCAGAGCAAGGCACAGAGAGGATCCATGATCTGCCTGGACCTGTTCAAGGGTGTGGGGGCAGAAATTACAAAGATGCATTGCAATTATTAACAAGATATTCTAGAATGCCAATGTGTTTTGTTTAAAATTTCCAGCAGTAATTATCCCTTCCTGTTTCCTGACCGTGTCACTGTTTCCTGTCCTGTTGCTGTCCATGTCACTCCAGGCTACTTGTATGTCACCTGCCTCATTCAGAACTGCTCGGACAAAATGGTGACGGCACAGTTCCTTGGAAAAATTGATCACAACTCGCTGCTGGTGCAGGATGACTACGTATTTGTCAAGGTAAAAGAGGAATACATGTGCATGAATGTTTTTATTTTACACTTTGAAACACTGTGCTATATAAATGTCACTTATCTTCTCTCATATTCCAGACTACTGCCATTCTATTCAAACTAAATTTTAAATCCTGTCACGTATCCACTCCATTTTGTCTGATGCATTTGTTAGATTCCACAGCACCTAATATTCTCAACATTACATCTGACTGCTGCATTAATGAGAAGACAGGAATTGCTCCTCTGATGGTTTCAAATTCTATTTTAATGTCTCGTGTTGCAGGTTATTGTTTTGTCTTTGTTCCATTTGAACTCGTTCAGCTTTTCACACAGTAGACAGCATTTTTGTACACATTTAATAAATACTATTTGTGTTGTGGGAGAGGAAATGTGTACACCTATGCATTTGCATGATCATATAGTCCATCTGTTCTCCTCTGCCTGTCCAATTCAGGAAGTCTGGACCCTATTCCAGCCCTGCAACCGCAAACAGGTTTCAGGGCTAACACAGAGAGACAGACAACCATGTTGATTCACATTCACACTTATGGGCAATTTAGAATCACTCAATAACCCTTTGAACTGTGGAAGGAAGCCAGAGTACCTGGAGAGAACCCACAAAGACATGGGAAGAACATGCAAACAGCAACCTGACCACTAAGCTATATGATATGGAAAACATGAGACAGGAAATGCAGGGGTGAGCTAGAAAACAGTAACTGAACTTCAAAAGGAGGATTATCCGTTGGTCACTCAACCGTAGAGGCCATCATTTTATAGATGGATTAAAAATTGAACAATACATTTTTCTCAAGCTAGTATTTTTCTTATCACAGGGTGTTCAAGATGTGATACTGATAAATTGCATAGCTTAGCCAAGCTTAAACATTATTTTAAGCTAGAGTGTTATCAGAATTATAATCATATAGTCTGCATTACAGTCAAATTGAGATTTCAGGTTATGCATAGGTCTCAGGAAAAAATTATGATTGATATTATGATCTTTTCCCGAGCTTAGTGAAATAGTGAAAACTTCTATTTTCTTCCTCTTTTTTGCCAGAAACAAAACTTGTCTCCTGACTAATACATTCTTTGTACTGTACGTCTCTAAAGTGGACCCAAAATCTAGGCAGCCTCCAAGGGTCGAGGCAGAGGCACCTATACTGTGGCTTTTGTTGCATTTACTTTCCAGCACTCTGTAGATAGATACTTTAATGATCCCACGAGAGAAACTGTTGCATTAAATCAGCAGAATAAAAGAATAAAATTACTACAGTCTACAATAAAAAAGCAATAAACAACAAAGTTAAAGTCTTATACTATGAGATAGTTCTATATACATAATACTAGTAAGGAAAAACTGAGCAAGTTTTTTTTTTTTTTAAACCTGCATCTCCCCAGTTATTTCTCTTTCAGCATTTGTGTATATGTTGTATCTGTCAGTGTATCTATTCAGTTGCAGCTGTGTTTGCGCTTACAGCTGAATTTGCAGCTTTATGTCTGTTTTACTGATAAACTCTTGCTGCCCAGATAACATACAGTGCTGTCACTTGAAATGGAAAAAGAATTTCTATTCGTGATAGTGTGCGGAATTAATCTTGTCTATAATTGATTTGCCATGCAGTACAGTACTGCACACTCTGCAGTGGCCAATAGTTCAATTCTATTTGCATGGAGAATAGACATGAGCTGGTATGCTAGAGGACAATCTCCACAGTAGGACAAAGTTGCTCTCTCTGGGTGTTGTCCCCCTATGTGTAAAGTTATGTGTGCATGAGTGTTTGCATCTGTGAGAAGAATGAAAACTCATCAGGTCACTGTAGACTGGCCCATTATCCTTAAGGGATAATCCTCCTAATATTTCAAGCATTACATACAGATATCAGGTTTGAAGAACAACACCTCAAACAATCTTTACTAGCAGTTCTTACGTGTTTACCTATAATGAAACCCAACACCTGGCAGTTCTGTGAGTGATGTATGTGTGCGAACATTTACTGCATGTGTCACTTTCCCTTTAAAGTAATTGTTGATACTTTCATCCCCAACTTTATAAGGTGAGGTCTGTTCCTTGATCATTAATATGAAAATTATCATAACCATTGATCAACAACTGATCAAAACCCATTGATCAAAGGCCATGAATACCATTAACAGAGAGAGTTGGGGAATGGCTGCAATCACAGCTTTGTAAGATGGCAAAAGATGGTTTCAGTTATTGTGCAAATGTAGTGTTTATACGGCTGGGGAAACCTGCAGTCAACTGAGACTGAAGAAGTCACTTGGATGAGTGATGAAACGTTTCTTCCACTGAAAACGCTACGTCCAGATGAACAGAATCAACCTTTTGTGATCGACTTACCTGGATGATTGAGCATGCATCAAGTACAATACAATACAGTACGATACAAAGTGCTCTGACTGGTCACCTTTAATCTATGAGGTCCTAATTAGAATAATCTCAAACCTAACTGAATAACTATGTAGATTTGAAAGCGTCCAGAACAGCAAATAATGGAATACCTTTTGGAAAATTAGTTTTCAGAGCTCCACACTTTGAGAATTAATGTAAAAAGTGTGTTGTGGATTATGATACCTAAACACAAGTCTCTATACTGAGTACAGAAACTAAAACAAGGTACATATAGACAAAGAAAAAAACTGGAGGTGATGATAGACCAAATACATCTTGTCACTTGCATTGCCAGCTTTTCATGTGCTTTGTCAGTCTTTTTTTTATTTTTTCTCCTTTCAGTGTGCTGTTATGTGGTGAACATTTCCCGTGAGGTTTTCAGTTTTTTAAAGCCCTTCATTGTTCATTAAGTTCACCTGTTTGTTTTAACCCTTCCTTCAGTTGGTTGGTTGTTGTCTAGTAACTTCTTGTTCACATGTTCCTTACTGTGCTCTGTTCTTTTATTATGATTTTGGGTTTCATTTAGTTTGCTGGTTTCCTGTTTGTTATTTTAAGTGAAGGCGTTTTCAACAACTGGCAGCCTGCAGTCCTAATCCTTTCAGCTGCTGGGGGTTCACCCAAAACATTTCTTTCTGAAACTGACAAGTTTATTGATTTGCAATGAAGTACTGAACCTCTGACATTCAGCTATTCACACAAGTTTCACAAACACAAGAAACTCTGGCTCTTTGTATAAATTTTGTCCAAAAAAAAAAAAAAAAATCTTAATGGTATAAACAGATCTTCGGGGTACTTTTCCAACATTAAGGCACTACATAAATATGCAGAGTCAGAGCTGAGAATGCAGCTCTCATCCCACTCTGCCAGCCGTCCTTTAGAAAGTGATTCCTTTTGAAACCTCAGTCCATGACACTTTCTTCAGTAGCTCTCATTTTTTAAAAATGGCTTTTTTTGTTTGATCCCTCTGCAATGCTTATCATTAAAGAAAAGTGGAACTTACCTGCTCCTTTCAATCACAAGCAATGGCAATAATCACAGCTCAGTCTGAACTCAGATGACAGAGACTGACATCTCCATGAAGGGAAAAAAGGCAAAGTCAAAAATAGAAGCACTGAATGCAAAGTTATAAACCTTTCCTTTTTATTTTGACAAAAGAAAAAATGTTTTTTTTTTTAACACAAACAAAAAAAAAAAAGGAGTTTCAGTGCTGCTCACCTGTTTCAGAACATGGTTAACTCATTTCTGAGCCTGTCACTTGGGATATGACACATTCAGCTCTTGTTCCAATCCACTGTCAGTCACCAGTGCGGTCTCTTTTCTCCCAACTTCCTCTGCTAAACTGTAGAATCACCTGTTTGAGTATTCTGGTTCGTGCTATGTGAGCTTTTTCATCGTCTGAGCACTCAGCAGGACGACGGCATGAGTCAGCCTTTTACCCATTTGTGAGTTGAATGCCAAGGTCTGTGCAATGCGCAGGAGTTTCTTTGCATTTACCTATCAGCACAGACTGAGTCACCGGCAACAGATGGTGAACTGTGCACCTCCACCTCCACAATTAGTCAGCTGGACATTTGCAGATGTTGAACATTTGATTGTTTTTCTGCAGGACAATATTTAAATGACTGGATGAATTCAGCCTTAATATGTCTCTTGATGCTGTGTCACTCAAATTGTTTTCTGTTTCACTCTTGCCTCGTTTTTAATCTCAGTGCATTCAGCAGCTTTCCCTTTAAAGTAATATACTTATGGGTCGTATGTCTATAAAAAATTTAAAACTGTTTGACTATATTATAACTGTAGAACTGTTAGACTGTTATTCATGCTGTTGCTGTTGTTTTTGCTTATTTCCCAGGTCACCACAGGCAATCGGACCAAGCACTATGTGTCCTACCGACGGAATGAATTTGTCCAGATGAGGTTTCCTAAGTATGCCTTACCAAAGGTAATGGACGAGAAAATTGGTGCATCTTTTGCTAATATTGATTTAAGGTTGACACAGTTTGCTCCCTGAAAGACTTCTCAGTCTGAATTATGCACGCATCCCTCAGGGATCAGTGTTTTGAACACTTTCATTTATAGTTGTTTAGCTAAGAATAATTACAAGAATTCAGTGGAATCAGATTTATTTTTACTTTTGACATTAAATGTGTAGGTTCTGTAAAGTCATTACTGATGAAACCCACACCATTAAGTGAACTGCAGTTTGTATTCTGATATTTGCACACACTTATGCTCACATTCCATGTGTGACCAGGTTCACAACAGTATTTCATGATACTCCATCGCTAGAGCCCCGCACTATTGTATCTTGTACAATATTTGAGGGACTAGCGTACACCATATATACCCGTGTATCAGCACACACGGTTACAACATTTACTTGGAAATGATGAATTTAAATAAGACAGTACCAGAAAAGTTTGGGATACTCACCTATGTGAGTGAGTTCATCAAATTAGACCAGACTGGCCTACCACTCCTTGTACACACCACATTACTTATACATATTTGCTGTGTGATTACTTGATTTACTGGTGAAGTGTAAAGTGTAAAGTAAAGTGTGCGTGTTAGTCCCCATAGGGAAATAGTTCCTCTGCATTTAACCCATTCACCCAGTGAAGCAGTGGGCAGCCACCAATGCAGCGCCCGGGGAGCAGTGTGTAGGGACGGTACCTTGCTCAGGGGTACCTCAGAGTAGCCGTTCAGTGGAGTCGAACCCCCGACCTTCCGATCATGGGGCCACCACTCTACCTGCTGAGCTATCCCTGCCCTGGTGGAAGTACTCTTGAAGTACCCTTTCACATTACACATACGTTACTATGTTTTATCCTATAACTGAGGATTTGAAAACAGCCATGTGACTAACTAGGTCAGTCTCATTGACCTCATCTACTGCTTGGTAATCCTTTCACTATCAAAACACTATATGTGTGTATTTTTATTTTTTTTATATCTTAATGTATAATTTATGTTCAAGTCTGTATCATGCTGCGCTGCACTAAATTTCTAAGCTAATAATATTCTCACTGATGCCAGGAGTAGACAAGCAATGCATTTGAACCATCACATTCTTTGGATTTTTTGCTGAAATCCATTGTGTATCCTTGAAATAGAAAGTCCACAGTCCACAGACTGTTGCAGGTAACTGAGAATCATGGAAGGTCCATTATTTCAAAGTTCTGTTATTATCTGTTCAGACACAGGAAGGCATGCTAGAATGATATACTGTAAATGTGTCCCATTCCCCATACAAAGGGTTTAGTGTGAAATTTCATGTTCCTAACTCTATGGATTCAAAACTTTTAAAATCAAACCCCTTGTTCCAATATGTTCCACTTCTTTGTTGGTCTCAAGTGTTAGTACACTACCTGCACTCAAATTAATCCTGGAACTGCCCTGATACATGATAACCTCCATAAAATATTCACACCTCAGCATTGATCCAGCAGCATCTTATGTCACTCACATAGCCAGAGAGGATAAATGAGCTCCACTTCAATACAGGCCAGTATTGGAACCTTTGCTGTCAGCATCAGCTGCACAGGGGACCATTTTAGTGTGACACTTGCCAGAGTGCTATTGAACTCATCTGATTGCATGGTAAGCCTGAGGAAATCTTTCAAGATTTTTGTTTTTATTTATTTATTTTTCTTGGCTTTAAACTAAGCCCTTTTAGCCAGACACTGCGATTGTTAGTCTGTCACTGATAATCTTATGCAAGGTGTTTAGCAACACGAATACGTAAAATACTAACCCCACCACTTACAGAAATCTTATAACCTGAATTGTCTGGCTACTTCAGCACCAAGAGCTCCACAATTTCCGTGATCCTTAAGGTGAAAGGAATTGAATTACACAGACAAACACACATCTGGGGATCTGCTGTAATGGGAAGCCAGTGGATAAATTAGTTTGTGTGTAAGTATGTGTGTGTGTAAGTATCTGTTTAGATAAAATATGCCCTAGTTACTCTCATGCTCATCGCTCCCTCTGTCTCTCTACATGTGTCCTCTTACTTGGGTGAGCAGATAGGTCACGCTTTGCGAAGCTTTTAGGTCGAGCGACATGGGGTGGGGTGTCAGGGCAAAGAAACAGAGACAGGCGAGAGGGATGGTGAGAGAGAGACTGAAGGGGGAAGATGAGGAGAAAGTGTGTGTGTGAGTAAGGGGTTCCATGTTTTTCCACTGTTAATAATTGAAAGGTTGGCAGATAAAAAATGCAGAGGCCATGAGAGAAAGCAGTTTTACTGTGTCCTGTGAGACCTGACCCAAGTAATGGATTAACCACACACCCACCCACACACACCCACACAGGTGTGAAATCACAAGTAATAATTGTTCCTTTTTGCTCTGCTTCCATCTCCTCTGGCCACTCGGAATGTGATCATGTTTCTGGGGTTTTTAACACTTTGTTTAACTATCAGTGTATCATTGACCAGACAGTGTCTTGTTGGTGCCTAGTAGGTCCTACGGAAGCAGTCTGCTGACTTGGGTGTGCATGGCTGCCAGTGGCACTGGGACACTAGTGTTTATTGATGATGTAACACAGGACAGAAGGAGCTGAGTGGATTCTGAAGTGTTCAGAGACAAACTGTCTGCTCAAATCCAGCTAAGTGCAGTCAAATTGATTGGGCAGTGTTTTATAATACAGATGGACAATGACCTAAAATATACGGCCAAAGCATCCCAGGAGTTTATTAAAGCAAAGAAGTGGAAATGTCTTGATTGGCTAGGTCAGTCACCCCATCTCAACCCAACTATGTATTTCACTTGTTGAAGACTAAACTTCTGACAGAAAGCAAAGAAAAGCGTCTGGACTTCTTTAAGTTGCTTGAAGACGTTTCACCTCTCATCCGAGAAGCTTCTTCAGTTCTAAGGTCAAATGGTGGGGAGTCCCAGATATAAACCTAGTGGGAGTATCCCCCCACAGAGGGACAAAAGGACCCCCTGATGATCCTCTAATCGCCTGAGCCAAGGTGTGAAACTGGGTGTGGGTCCCAATCAGCCAGAGTTTCGGGTGAGCTCATTGTGAAACCTGGCCCCACCTTATCATGCGAATTCCTGAGATCAGCTGGCCCAGGATGTGAGTGGGCATTAAGGCGTCTGGGGAGGGAACTCAAAACTGGATTATAGATGGCAGAGAGTTGGTGTCGTAAACCCCCGCCTCTGTTCAAAGATGGTCACTCACAGTGGACATAGATGGCTTCTTTCACTCCTCTTTCAAACCACCTGTCCTCTCTGTCCAAAATGTGAACATTGGCATCCTCAAAAGAGTGTCCTTTATCCTTAAGATGCAGATGGACTGCTGAGTCTTGTCCTGTGGAGGTGGCTCTTCTGTGTTGTGCCATGCGCTTGTGAAGTGGCTGTTTGGTCTCTCCAATGTAGAGGTCTGAGCATTCCTCGCTGCACTGTACAGCATACACCACATTGTTAAGTCTGTGTTTTGGCGTTTTGTCTTTCGGGTGAACCAGTTTTTGTCTGAGCGTGTTGCTGGGTCTGAAATGCACCGGGATGTCATGCTTGGAGAAAACTCTCCTGAGTTTTTCTGATACACCGGCTACATAGGGGATGACAATGTTGTTGCGCCTGTCTTTCTTATCCTCCCTCGCTGGTGTCTGATCTTCTTTTCTGTGCCTCTTTGCTGACTCACCACTACATATTTCAAATACAACGAAGGCTTTTACAGACAAAAACATGGCTGTGCCATGGGCTCCCCCGTGTCACCTATTGTAGCCAACCTTTACATGGAGGAAATGGAAAGGAAGGCTCTTGGCTCTTTCAAAGGAAGAGTACCCAGCCACTGATACAGATATGTAGACGACACCTGGGTCAAAATCAAGACACAAGAAGTGGAATCCTTCACTGCGCACATTAACGCTGTGGATAAAAACATCAAGTTCACCAGGGAAGACACAAAGGACGACTGTTTGCCTTTCCTGGACTGCGCCGTGCACATTGAAGAGAACGGCAACCTCAACATCGAAGTTTACCGGAAGCCCACACACACGGACCAGTACCTCCTCTTTGACTCCCATCACCCTCTGGAACACAAACTTGGAGTAATTAGGACCCTACACCACTGTGCAGAACATGTTCCCTCTAAGCCTGAAGGAAAAAAGAAGGAACACACACATGTAAAGGAAGCACTCAAAACGTGCAGCTATCCTAAATGGGCGTTCTTAAAGTCAGCAAAGAGGCACAGAAAAGAAGATCAGACACCAGCGAGGGAAGATAAGAAAGACAGGCGCAACAACATTGTCATCCCCTATGTAGCCGGTGTATCAGAAAAACTCAGGAGAGTTTTCTCCAAGCATGACATCCCAGTGTATTTCAGACCCAGCAACACACTCAGACAAAAACTGGTTCACCCGAAAGACAAAACTCGAAAACACAGACTTAACAATGTGGTGTATGCTGTACAACGCAGCGAGGAATGCTCAGACCTCTACATTGGAGAGACCAAACAGCCACTTCACAAGCGCATGGCACAACACAGAAGAGCCACCTCCACGGGACAAGACTCAGCAGTCCATCTGCATCTTAAGGATAAAGGACACTCTTTCGAGGATGCCAATGTTCACATTTTGGACAGAGAGGACAGGTGGTTTGAAAGAGGAGTGAAAGAAGCCATCTATGTCCACTGTGAGTGACCATCTTTGAACAGAGGCGGGGGTTTACGACACCAACTCTCTGCCATCTATAATCCAGTTTTGAGTTCCCTCCCCAGACGCCTTAATGCCCACTCACATCCTGGGCCAGCTGATCTCAGGAATTCGCATGATAAGGTGGGGCCAGGTTTCACAATGAACTCACCCGAAACTCTGGCTGATTGGGACCCACACCCAGTTTCACACCTTGGCTCAGGCGATTAGAGGATCATCAGGGAGTCCTTTTGTCCCTCTGTGGGGGGAAACTCCCACTAGGTTTATATCTGGGACTCCCC